TTTAATTAGGGTGAATGTATTAGTGATCATGATGATGAAGATATTGTACTGAGAGACTTATGAATGATAGTCACAAGTGTGGTAAAATAGTTTATTGATTATATGTGTAATTGTTACTTTTCCTTAGAATTTTTGATGCGGAAGATTATTCTGGAAATATTAGTATAGTAGGTGCTCCTTTAATTCATATTAATTTATTAATTTAGCAAGGCCACTAGTATACATTCTATAGTTACCTTATCTCACTAAGTTTCAAGACAAGAATATCTTAGGTTTGTTTAATTTCATGTGAAAAGCTAAATTCATTATTCAGGTTGTGATGAACTGAAACTTTCTTGTTTAAAGCTCTTGTTAAGGTCAGTTTAATCATAGTGTTTTAATTTATTATCATCATTTGTCATTATAGTTCACTTCAAATAGCATTGAATTTTTTTTGTGAACCTGCCTTCATTATGCTGGTTAAGGAAGGTATGTAGTTCCTTTGCTTATGTAGAATTTATGCCTCATTATAGTTATGTTATGGATCTAAGCTTTGTAGGACTATGTGTTACAAGATACCTTTGAAAGATCTGCTTCACTACATGGAACCCCAGAGTTCATTAATGTTGGAGATTTTTGGAAATTAATTTCTCAGTAATGTAAGTTTATTATTTTAGTGCCTTCTTAATTTATGGCTCTTTAGGTGTCTTAAGTTACAAAACATGAAGTGTCTTACTTGTGGAACATTGGTAGACTATGATGAAGAAAACAATTAGAATCTTTTTTTGGTTTTAATAATAATTCCAAATCATTTTAAATTAATAATGAATAATAATTAAGTATTAATTAAGCATAATAGGAAGTACGTCATAATGAGGCTTAATGAATATCGTTATCGTTGTCGGATCAGGTCTGGCACCAGCATAAATCGTGGCTGATTCGTCAATATCGGATCAGGACATTGCCCCAAACCACGGTCCAGGCTCGATCATCAGTAATGATTCAGGCCTGTATCAGGACTGGTCCATGTTCCAACTCTTGGGCGTGTATACGGACAAATATGTTTGTGGGTGTTACCTCATAACAAAATGGCAGCTAAAGGTCCTGGAAAAGGTCACTCACTATTAGCGTATCATTCAGTTACTGTTACCTCTTGTTATCTATAGACTATCAACCAGTGAAGAGGGAGAAACACTCCACTGTACGGGTAGGAGACTACCTGTATATGTGGGGTGGGGACCAGCCTGATCTCCCTGAAGTACATAATAATGAAAAGAAGAAATCAATGTGTTCTGTGATGGAGGTGTACCACTTGGTGACTGGTAGGTGGGAGCAGAAACCCACCACTGGTAATCCTCCACTGGGTGTTATGGGCTATGCAGCTGCTGCCATTGGAAATGAAATATTTTATTTTGGAGGCTATTGTGGTCATCCTGGCTGTTTTCATAATAGTTTATACAGGTAAACATGATAGTTACTGATAAATATTATATAATATTTTATACAGTTTTAATGTTGATACCTTCAACTGGAAGGAACTCTCTCCTACTACATCTCGTCATGGTCCTAGGATGAAGTGGCTCTGTGACATGATAGCAATAAAAGTGAACGGTGAGGACTATCTTGTAGT